CAAGATAAAACTGAGCTCTGTTTTGTTGATAAGTAAGAAATGTTATTCTATCATGGAAGTTAATAATGTTGATAAGTAAGAAATGCTATATTGTCATGTAAGTTAATAATGTTGATAAGTAAGAAATGCTATATTGTCATGTAAGTTAATAATGTTGATAAGTAAGAAATGTTATTCTATCATGGAAGTTAATAATGTTGATAAGTAAGAAATGCTATATTGTCATGTAAGTTAATAATGTTGATAAGTAAGAAATGTTATTCTATCATGGAAGTTAATATTGCTGATAAGTAAGAAATGTTATATTGTCTTGGAAGTTATGAACAAGTTAATAATGTTAACAAACATAAAAGTTCAGTGTTTGTATGTTTATATATTATGGTGACAGGATTATTACCTATAAAACAAAATGCCAAATTACTTTATCTGTATTAGAAATAATGAAACCAATACATTCCTCTTAAGTCAAGAGCCAATCTAGATTGTTTTAGCAAAAAGATAAATGGTTTTATATTACTCTTAAGTCAAGAGCCAATCTAGATTGTTTTAGCAAAAAGATAAATGGTCTTATATTACTCTTAAGTCAAGTGCAAATCTAGATTGTTTTAGCAAAAGGATAAATGGTCTTATATTACTCTTAAGTCAACAGCCAATCTAGACTATTTTAACAAAAGTTAAATGGTCTTATATTTCTCTTAAATCAAGAGCCAATCTAGACTGTGCTAGCAAATGTTATATGGCCTCTTCATAAAAATATCCGTGGTAAAATTTCTGTACAAATTACTGACTTTTATACATTTATTCAGTTTCTTTACACAGAAAATAGTATAAAAACAGTGGAAATATTTAATGAAAACAAAACCAATATAATAGCTCAACTAATTAATGATTAAGAAACTTGATGGAAAGTCCTATCTCAATTATTTTAAATATTTACAACAATTTTAATTTTGGCTGCATTAAAAATGAAACAAAACAAATGAGTCACAAATATTAATTGATTACATTTTTACATTCTTAGTATAATGATGCAACTCTACCAACTTTCATGAATTTATAATTAACCTTATGAATTCATTATGAAGGTAAAAATGTAATATTTAGTTTTGTAACTTCATTTTATTTTACATTATCATACTTCAGTAAAGTGAAGTATTATTCTTTAATCATAAAAATGTCAAGTTTAACTTTTGTTAAAACATCAGAGCAATTGTAATAGAAAGAAATGAAAGACAAAAATATTATAAATGTAACAATACTTGTTATAATTATAATTTATTTGAAGGCTCTACCTCATGAAGAACTGAATCAGCACCAATAATATAATCCAGGTGAGGCATCAGTCCAGCTAATTCTGCTGGAGAATGTGGTTGTATATCCTGGATTTTGGGGGGAAAATTAATTATTATGACAATGTTAGTTATTACTTAAAAGTGTTAACTTTTCAAATACTTGTATAATAGCATTCTGAAATAAGTATATATATATATGCATCAAACACACTGTAAATGGATATTTTCAAAATATTATCTAGAAAATACTGACATAAAACACATACTTTATAAGAAGAACAAAAGTATTCTATAAAGACTTTCATGGCATTACTGAATGTTTAAATTATATGGGAGTGACAATTATTCTTATCCAACAGGAATGCAGCAGTATCATCTTTTAAAAACGTTTTACATGACAATATGAACACGTATGTTTAAAATGCTGTACTGCCTGCTAGCTTTCCCTGAGAAATTCAGGGGCTTATCTACTGATAATAAAATATAAAAAAACATCTTGTGTTCATAATCTACAAAAAGCACAGGTTATTTTAAACTTAGTCATATTGGTTGGTTTTATTTAAAAAGGACATATGATAACTGGTTATATTTTGTTAGAAATCACTACATAATTTCAAACATTTCCCATCAGTTGTTACTTTAACTTGCATTTATTCCATTTCTATCAATATAAGGTTTCCCAGGAGCACTCTCAAAACATAACAACTACTTCTTGGCCTTCAAACATCTATAAAATAAGATTAACAATTTTATTATAAATATTAAAATCTATTGAAAACACTATTTAAAATAAATTAAAATCATAGTCGAAATAAAACCTTATTTCAGATACTATCAATAAATACCATGTACACATCATATACAATCATATATCAATGATAAAAATTTACATTTTTGTGGGCTTTGAACATTTTGTATAAAAATCTGTTTATCTAATAATCTTTGCTTTTTTTTTCACACAATGTCAAAAAGGGGTAAAAATAAAAATAACATTCTTGCAATTGATCATGAGATCCTATATGACAATTATAGAAGTGCCTAGACCAATAGACTTGTTCAAAATATGACTTTTAAGTAAATTCATTCTAGTCTTAGACATTCTGTTTGACTGATGTATACACTAAATCACAAATAGAACATTTTGATAAATAAATACAGTTAAGTGAATTACAAAGTACTTCTTGAAGTTAAAAATTTCTAATCCATTACCATCTACAATATGCTTTCTAATAAACTAAGCAACATAACTGACATCTCTTATCTACACAATTAACAATAGTTTCTTTTTCTTGCTTTAAAGAATCACTATAGCATAAAGACCCCTTATAATTTTTAGTTTGGTTGTCTGTAAATATTTAAGATATTGTATTTACAGAAAATATCTTTAAGTTATTTGTTTGTAATGCTTTCAAATATACATTTCATATGTTTAAAATCTGGTTTCTGTGAAGGGTCATAAGTAGTAACTACTTGTAAAATAAATTCCTTTCTATGTGGACAGGTAGAGGCAAGTTGTTTCATGTGAAAACAATAAATTGTCTATAAGGACTCTCAGTAGAGCTACAATACTTCTATTGTGATGTTTATTTGCCATTGTATTAGCATATAACAATCATTAATATACCTAACAAAAAGATATTTTGTGTTAATGGTGTTTTTAATGTACTTTTGTTACAGGACTTGATCTTTATTTTTAGCCTATTAATAAGATGGTGACCCTGAAAAGGGTCTAGCCCAGAGAAGTGGGTAACACAAAAGAATGTTCAAGCCTTTGACATATTTTGCCCCCTCCTACTCATGAGTAGATTAAGAAAGTAAATAGTTATTTGTGGCTTTAAAGTAGGTACTGTTGTGAGAAGTTCAGTAAGTGACTTACTATGAATTTATAATGTTTAAACAAACAATGTATCAAAATCATGAATACCCTATTAGAGTAGTACTAGTTATTAATTAATAATATTGACTCACTATTATTCAACACAATATTACAAAGAAAATACACTTTATGATGTACTCTGCTAGTTCCAGGTTAGAATATGAATGTCAAATTTATTAGTAGTTTCCTTGAAAAAGTGTGAGTAGGACTAAATCTATATAAGCAAATAAGCTAATCATAACTACAGGCCCCATAATCAATTGGTAAATAAAAACTGGTGAGATGGGGGTCAAGTAGCCTTAAGAACTAATTTAGTGATTTGTTAAATAAAAGTCCAGAAAACCAGTTTCTATGTTGAAATGGTAGAAAGTTCAGAATTTCTGTATAGCATATAAGCACAAGATGCATGTCACAAGAAAAGGTTGGAACAAGTCAAAGATAATGGTTAGGTGACAGAAAATCATTTGGTACACTAGTCTCCCCTCATCCAAATAATAACAACACATTTCCTTGTAATTTACTTAGATTACATAATTTTAAATACAGCCCTTCACATCCACTTATCTATTCAATAATACTGTAAACAAATTTAAACTAACAGCACAAATCACACAAGACAAAGCATTCCATACGTTTCCAACCCTAAAAAAACAAACAAAGAATATTTGAATGTAAAATCCTACAAGATTCATATAAGTGTTTTCAACTTTTTCATTTCACTAATTAAAGAATCTATAAGAAAACTTTCTAAATTGCTTCTTTTGTTTGGCTTAACCATTTAAATTCATGACTCATTAAAAGAAAACTAATCAAAATTAATGTCTCTCGTTATTACTTCTTCTGATCATCCCAACTATCCAATTCTCATAGGAGAATAATCTATTTGATGGATGAATTCAATTAAAGAGGAGATACAGGAGATACTTAATCATTAAGTACTCTGAAAAAAAAGAAAAAAAGGCTAATTAAAGCCACTTGCAACATGCTTTATATATGTTAACTCTTTCAGCACTGGCTCGGTCCCTGTGACCGACCTCCTAACCATTTTTGTGCTTGATATAGTTTTCATGCTATAACTTTTAAATTAGTAAGCGCATGTTAATGAAATTTGGCAGATTATCAGTATACATTACAATGCTTTCATATGCAAAATATCAACTTTTTTTTTATTAAGTCTTAAGGTTTATAAAGCAATTTTTTTTCACATGTTTCCTATCCAACATGCAAAGTAATTTTCATTTTAAGATTAAAAATACTTTTATGCATCAGAAAACTTTCAAATTTCACGTGCAAAATCTTTATGATGTCCAGATAGTTATCAAATGTATCTTAAGAAAAAAACTTTATATTTTATCTGTTATTTTCCTTAACGAACCTCTGAACGGTAGATTTGATCAATCTC